TATCTATCTATCTATAGATACACACACACAGATACATATGTATATACATATACACACACAACGGGCATTCAAAAAGTTTGTGAGAAAATGGAATTAAAAGATAATGGAATTCAATATATATATACATGTTGTTAAGTACTATAGTGTTGGTTCTGACTCATAGCGACCCTGCATAGGGTGTCTAAGGAGTGGGTTTGAACTGCTGACCTTGTTATTACATACAGATATGCACATACATATATAGGCACATATATATTTAGTTCAAGAAAATGACTCACAGCTGCAGAGGCTGATGAGTTCCAAGTCTGTGGATAAGATGTCAGACTGCAGGCTTCTCTTTCCTCACGTAGCTGCAGGAGCTGATGAACCTAAAACTGGCTGGTCAGCTGGCAGGCTGCTGATTCAGGCCTCAGAGGCTAATGACTTCCAGGATTAGCAGGCAGTAGTGCTGTGGGTTAATGTGCCAGACTGCAAAGCTGTTTGAACTGCAAGGTTGGCAGTTCAAGCTCACCAGCTGCTCCTTGGAAACCCTATACAGGGTTGCTATGGGTTGGAATCGACTCAAAGGCACTTAACAACAACAACAACAGCTGCAACACTGGAGGTCAGATGATGATGAGCTAGATGCAGGATCCACATCCAGATCCAGAAAAAAGCAAAAGCGCTTTGACAGAGCATCTACATATATTGGAAGCAGGCCACTCCACCTCCACCCCGCAGCAAGGAAACTCCCTTTCAGTTGGTTGGCTGTACATGGCAGATCTCATCATGAAGGTGATTACATAATAGCAGAGCTCATGGGGATGACTAACTGTCAAACCACTGAGACTTGGCTTAGCCAAATTGACAGACAACCTTAACCATCACACCTCCTAAGCCAGATAGGTGGAATTTAGTTTTACTGTATAGTTATGGGGCAAGCTCTGTGATAGATGGAAAGATTTTAATAGTAAAAAGAGCTGTGATCTCACTCCTGAGATACTTTTGAGTGGAGGTGGATAAGGAATGGAAGAATCACAGCCTGTCTTACTTCTGTCTCAGCGGTTTTAGATTTAGATTTCTAAACTACCCCAGGATTCTGTTGTTGTTGTTAAGTGTTGTTGAGTCAGTTCTGAGGAGTGACTGTGGGTTTGAAGCTGGCCTTGCGGTTCAAACTGACCTTGTGGTCCAGTGCTTATCCTGCAGCGCCACACCAGGACTCCGCTTCAGGATTCTAGAGGGACCAAAAGAGTAGCATCTTTCGGAACAGACTGAGACTGCATTGTAGCACAGTTGTAGCTATGTACCTTTAAGACTGTATGACATAATAGGAAAAGCTTTCTTTGGGTTGTTGTAGATTTGACTATAATAAATTAAACTGAGGGATTTTATAAACAAAAGGAAACAAATGTAACCCCTCCCCCCCCCAAAAAAAAAACAACAATAAACAAACAAGCAAACAAAACCCCTAAAAGGCAAGATGCAGCTGCTAGAAGGCCTTTAAGATCTTTGATAGATGGACATGGGGAAGAGGAAGTATAAAACTGACAGATTGATGATGAATACAAGTACTTCTACCCACAGCAACCAAGGTGCTCTGTGTCCACACTTGGGAAAGGTTGGCTGGTTTATGAGCTGGGTATCAGGATAGGAATGGAACAGCAACAAGAAAGCCCTCAGTTCTCCAGTGAAGGGAAGAACTCCACTCTGGGGTGCAGGATGGGAAGTCACAGTTAGTAGGAGAAATTGTCTACTTAGTGACTGGGAGCCAGATGACAGGCCTTCTGACTAGAGAGGGTGATGATTCCAGTAGGACTGGTAATGCTTTCAGCCTGTGCGAGGTCAGTTTACTGATTAGTCACTGAGGTTGTCCTATTTTCAGTGTCTCCTGTGACCTTGAATCCCTGCTTCTCTGGTAAACTCAGTGTGGACTGAATTTGAATGGGCTGTGTGTTTTGGTTCTCAGTGGAAAGGGTGGAAGTGGGATACATAGAACTGACATGTTATAGAACTTCAGTGATCGTGGGGAAATCAGGGTTCTCAAATGGACAAACATAAAATATCAATGGTCAATTAAATACAGGTAACACAAAGAGAATGCTAATTCTAGTATGTGAAAAGTAACTGCCAAAAAATGAAACCGCCTAAAGAGGAAGATGGTGTGGTGGTGATTGTGTGCCATAGAGCTGGTTCTGACTCATAGTGACCCTCTATAGGGTTTCTGAGGCTGTAAATCTTTATGGGAGTAGAAAGCCTCATCTTTCTCCCATGGAGAAACTGGTAGATTTGGACTGCTGACCTTGCAGCTGACAGCCCAGCTTGTAGCCATGATGCTACCAGGGCTCCAGAGAGAAAGATAATGTAGGTAAAATATGTGATCCAGGGTTCACGGTCTTTGAAAGGAAGCCTGCCCTCGCCTACCTTTGGGCAGCAGCAACAGAACATGCACAGAACTATAGTAGGATGGAAAGTAAATGGAGAGGTGGGAGTTTGGTTAGGGAAGAGTCTCAGAGAATGGAGTCCCTACATTTTTTTTTAATAGTATGTTACCCAAGAAACATCACAACAAGTACAGTACCTGATTATAAATTTGCACAGTAACATTTTTAACAGAACTTTTTTGCATCTAGAGGGAAGTACATCTGAATTTTGGCTTACACTGTCTCTCAACCATGTGGCTCCAGGAGACACATTTTAATTTTCTTCCTGAGGGAGAGACATTTCCTTTCTTCCTGACAACTGCTATTAGGTAAACTTTTTTAGAAACCAAACTGTAGTTAATCCACAAAGAACACTTAAGATAAAAAATAATTTGATATAAAAAAATTAAAAAGAAAAAAATTCTAAATATTGACACTTTAAAATTTGGGTGTGTTGTTTCCTGTTACCTCCAGCGAAAAATACCTGTACCCGCCTCAATGGAAAAATAAAAGTTGTCTAGTATTGTTGTTGTTGTTGTTGTTAAGTGCCATTGAGTCAGTTCCAACTATAGCGACCCTGTATAGGGTTTCTAAAGGAGCTCTGGTAGAGTAGTGGTTACAGGTCGGGCTGTTAACCTCAAGGTCAGCAGTTCGAAACTACCAGCTGTTCTGAGGGAGAAAGATGAGTCTTTCTGCTCCCATAAAGATTTACAGCCTCAGAAACCCAATACAGGGTCACTATGAGTTGGAACCGACTCCACATCACACCACCACCACCACCATAGAGTTTCTAAGGAGCCACTGGTGGGTTTGAACTGTCATGTCACCCTTGTAGTTAGCAATCCATTGCTTATTCTACAGTGCCACAACAGGACCCCTATCTAGTATCTAGTACTAGCCAGATGAAATTTGAAGGGAGAGAGATGCAGAAGTAAGTATGTCTTACATTTAATTAAATTTTAAAGAAAAATTTACTTAGGAGCAAGTTAATAGATTTTTTTTGTGATTTTACAAATTGGGAGTTAATGTTTGTCAGACACTGTCTAGAATTTCAGAGAGTAACATCTGCTTATGTTATTGGAAAAGGTGAGAAAATAAAGGTCTTATTTATATTAAAATAATTTTCCAAACATTTTCTATAAGAGTTACTTTTTTTTTTTTGTTCGTTTTGTTTTCTCATTTGTAATTATCTTATTAATGACAGAAGTTAATTAAGTTAGTATGAGAGGAAATTGATTTTAATTGTAGTTCAGATATTATAAAATGTTGTTGTTGTTAGGTGCCAGGGAGTAGGTACCAACTCATAGCAACCCAGAATAGGGTTTCCGAGGGGTGACTAGTGACTTTGAACCACCGACTTTGCAGTTCAAACCGGCTTTGCGATCTAGTGCATTATTCTACAGTGCAGTGCCACACTAGGATTCCATATGAAATGTTACTATTTAATAATTAAATCTTAATATGCAATTAAAACGATGTACTTTTCTTTCTCCTTAGACTTGTGTACGAGACCGAGCCATTCTTTCTATCCTGGCTGTTAGGAATATCAGCAGAGAAGTAGCTCAAAAGGCTGTTGATGAAGTTTTTGAATCTTGTTTCAATGACCATGAGCCTTTTGGAAGGATCCCCCATAGCAAAACGGATGCAAGATACGCTCATAGAGACTTTCAGAATCGTGACCGGTATTATTCAAATATATGAAGACATGTTATAGAACTTCAGTGATCATGGAGAAATTATGGTTTTCACATGGGCGAACATAAATATCAATGATCAATTAAATGCAGATAACACAAAGAAGATGCTGATTCTAGCATGTGAAAAGTAACTCTGGCAAAAAATGAAACTGCCTTAAACAGTAAGGTAAAAATCATCATCTTCATAGCTAACTATATGAAGTAAATAAATTACATTTTTGTATTTTTTTTTACAGTGTATTTATTTGTGTTTGTTGTATGTGTTTTATTAATGTGATTATTTTTAAAGCTTAATTATAAAACTTGTGAAGTGTGCTGTTGTATGATGTTGCTAGTGACCAAGTCTTGGTATTTGTATTTTAGAGATTAAATGTAAAGAAAAATATACTGATCTTACTGAAGGACACTCACTGAGCTATTGTCATGATCAAAACATTTAAAGAATGAAAACAAACAACAGTTTGTTCAATAATCAATGCTCCTACTCCCTGCTTTTTTTTTTTTTCCCTCCAAAAATATATGGAAGCTATATGGCCTAATTTTCTAAGGAAAGCTTTGACTAGATGTTTTTTTTAACAACAACAAAATTCTGAGTTTATTGTGTGTACATTTCTGCTTTTATATCAAGTTGAAAGCTATGGGTAATTTTTTTATTTTTATTTTTTAGTGTTTTATTGTGAATTATGTGATAGTTTACATGGAAGAACATTAGCTTTACATTCATTCTATCGTATATCATTTCATTGCCATGGTTACAATCCCCTCCATGCATCATCAACCAACCAAAGGGTATACACTACAAGCCTGCCACCCAGTCATAAGTACACAGCCCCTCTCCCTCTCTGTGTCTAAAGTCCCCAGCCTCTCCATCTCTCCACGTCATCATCTCTGTCTCCATCTCTGGCATCACTGCTATCTCGGGGTAGGGTCCCGCTCTCCGCTTTTCTCCCTTGATGGTCCCAGGTACCTCTGCTCCTGGACTGCAAACTCAATTACTCCCCTCCTTTTGCTACAAAATGTCTACCTTTACATTTCCAACCCTCACAGTCAGTTCTGATAACAGTAATTCACTATTGTACCACAAGAGAACTATCCACATCTCCTTTCATCAGCCCCGCCCAGACAGATTGGATACTACTCAGTAGAAAGTCTACCTTCTTCCGCGCCCTCTGGATCTAGGCTCCCTCTTGAAAGCTTGTAAGCCAGTCACTTCTTGCCTTTGTAGCAACCCCCATTTTGGGTAGCAAATGTCCAAGTTGCCCGTCCCTGTCTACTCTGTGTATGGAGAGGGTGGGAATGATCCTCGCTGTAAAGATTTGTTCCCGCTTTTGAGCTACTGCATCCATAGGTGTAGGTCAAGTTCATCAAATTGTATCAGATTATTCTTTTTTCCTCTTCTTTCTTCTAGTTGAGCTCTGATCATCCTGACTAGATGTTTTTAAAAAGTAAAGTCAGTACACTAAATTTATGATCTAATGTCATTTTATATCTCTCATGGATTGAATCTGTCGTTGTTAAGTGCCGTTGAGTCGGTTCTGACTCATAGCAACCTTGCATACAGTTTTCAAAGAGCTGCTGGTGAGTTTGAAACGCTGACCTTGTGGTTCAAACTGACTTTGTGGTCCAGTACTTGATCTGTGTCCCCCAAAATATGTGTCAGCTTGACATGGGTCATGATTCTCAGTGTTTTGGCAGCTATGTGTGATGTACTGTGACAATTAGCTATGCCATAGTGCATCACCACATAACTGTTATGATTTTCCATAATGTGATCTAATGTGCTAAACCAGTAGGAGGATTAAGGGTGGGATGTTGTTGTCAACTGCCATCAAGTCGGTTCTGACTCACAGCGATCCATAACCCTAATGGTCCTGATCCAGTGTAAGGTGGCTTCTCAGGGTTCTGACATGCAACATGTTTTATCTGACGAGAGATGAAAAGAGCGAGAAGTGAGCAGAGAAGGGCAACCTACCGCCACCAAGAAAGCAGAGCCAGGAGTGGAGTCCATCCTTTGGCCCTGGGTTCCCTGCACTGTGAAACTCTTGGATCCAGGAAAATCTTGATGCCAAGATGCATGGGGATCTCCAAGGAATGGCGAGCCTACAGATGCTGAGTGGGAATAAGGACTTCTCCCCAGAACTGACAAAGAAAAAAAGGTTTCCCCTAGAGTTGGCACTCTGAATTTGGATTATTAGCTTCCTAAACTGTGTGGGGACTGTAAGATAAGCACTGATCTGCTTTTTCAAAGATCAACAATTCAAATCCACCAGCTTCTTGGAAACCCTTTGCCAGGGTCATTAGGAGTTGGAACTGACTTGATGGCACTTAACAACAAACTGAGAAAATAAATTTCTGTTTGTTAAATTGTGTTATTTCTGTTATAGGGGCACTAGATAATGAAGACAACCTCTTTATAAGATTTTTTTTTGTATAGTGCACTCTTGAATCTTTTTAGAGCCTGTGTTTAAACTTTGGATTTAGAAAATATGGTCATTCTTACCTGTAATGGTAGCTTATCTTGTAACTCCACGTTCTACTTGTCCCTGACATTCTTAACTTGTTTACAGATGGATGGAAGGACAGTGATTTGGATTAGAGGCTTAAAGACAATGAAGCTAAAGGATTCTTTCTTGTGTTAAATTTCGGTTATGTGTAAATGATAATGTGGTACGTCAAGTCTCAAAAATTACTAAACATTAAAGATAAAGTTTGCAATCAGTACTTTTTAAAAAATAATTAAATAAATGTTTAATTTGTATTGTGTGATAGTTTACATGGGGGAACATTAGTTTTGCATTCCTTCTATCATTGCCATAGTTACCATCCCATCCATGCATCATCACCCAACCAAAGGGTATACCCTGCAAGCCTTCCCCCCCTCCCCCCCCCACGGTCCTCAGCACACAGCCCCTTTCCCTCTCTGGATCTCAAATCCCCAGCCACTCCATCTCTTCACGTCATCCTCTCTGTCTCAGTCTCAGGCTTCACTGCTCCTCTGGGTAGGGTCCCGCTCTCCACTCTTCTCCATTGATGGTCCCAGGGCCCTCCGCTCCTAGACTGAAAGGTTAATCACTTCCCTCCTTGCTATAAAATATCCACCTTTACATTTCCAGTCCTCACAATCAGTCCTGGTAACAATTATTCACCATTGCATCCCAAGAGACCCATCTGCATTTCTTTTCATCAGCCCTTTCTAGACAGGTTGGGTACTACTCACTGGAGGCTCTACTCTCCTCCCTGCCCTGTGGATCTAGGTTCCCTCTTGAAAGCTTGTAAGCCAGTCACTTCTTACCTTTGTATCCCTCCCCCCATTTTGAGTAGCCAGTGTTCAAGTTGTCCATTCCTGTCTACTCTTTGTGTGCAGGGGATGGGAATAATTCTTGCAGCAGGGATTTGTTTCCTCTTTTGAGCTACTGTATTTATAGGTGTAGGTCAAGTTTATCAAATTGTATCAGATGACGCTTTTTTCCTCTTCTTTCTTCTTCAGGTTGAGCTCTGTTCATCCGGTCATTGAAGCCAGGTCAAGTGGGTATCATCTGCAAGTGTGGGTGTTCTTGCGTCTGTCTGCCCTCTTCATATCATCGGTCGCTTTGCTCTCCACTCAGTCCTCTGTGGCTGTGTCACTGACTCTGAGCCCATGAGTCCCTAGGTTTTGCCTCGCTGCTGGCTGACCAAGTCTCCACCCAGGTTCACAGTAGTATGCTGAACGATGCAGGGCTTAGCTCGCTGCTTCATTGATGTTCTTTGGTCACTTTTTATAGGTGACGTGCATGGTCGCCAATCAAAGCGTGTATTTCCATTGCGTCTTAGTCTTGGAAGAGGATTTGCACTGAGAGGACCCAACCGCTTGCCTTGATGTCTCCTGGGCAAGCAACTTACTTGTTCTTGTGGTAACAGTCGGACTGCCCTTATTGTTTTATATTTTTCCTGTAGGTCTTTCAAGAAGTGTCTTCTGGTTTTCTAGCTGCTCCAGGCTGGTCTGCTTGTCCTTTCAAGAGGAAAGTTTCCTGTCTCTGAAGGTCTGGATGTGGTTCAGGCTTCCACCTATAATCTTATGTAATGCAGAGGCTCCTCAGGAAACCTCCTTCACTGGACATATTGTAGCCCCATTTTAGATATTCCAATCAGTTATAGGCAGAAGATGGACTTATTAGCTTTCTATGGTGATATTTCTGGCTATTCCTTTCTCTCCCCCTCCAGTGTCTGTTTTATAATATAAGGCATGGAAAACCAAGGTTCAAAAGACAGCCAAGTATCTTAATATTATTCCCCCTTTTCCCCATTCCATCCATGTCTCAGTCTCTGTATCCCAGAGCCCTGTTGTTCCAAGGCTGTGCCTACATAATTTTTTACCTCAATCAGTACTTTTTTATATTTAAATCATCTTTATTTACAAAACTGCAAGGTCTGTGGTTCAAACTCACCAGCTGCTCCTCGGAAATCCCATACAGGGTTTCTATGAGTTGGAACCGACTCAACAGCACTTAACAATTTAACAATCCTGAGAATTTTAATTCCATTAGACTTCAATTTGAGCAAGAGTATAATCACTAAGTAATAGCAGTTATTTAAACTGAAAATGAGAGATGTCAAAGTTACTTTGGAAGAGAGACTAAAAATATTGTCAAGTTTCTTACGGTTCTGGATGTTCAGAAGTAGGCTCATTTGAAGGTGGAATCAACTCTATAGTGAGAGTTCACTTCTACTTTCAGGATGTTGGGATGGGGGTTCAAATCCAGGTCTTGGAGGAAGATAATGAGGAAAACCTCTCAGTGAGTAGACATTTCTCATTGCAAATGAAGGATGTGGAAGGCCAGGGATTTCCTAGGTGGAAAATAATCTCAGGAAGCTTCCTGGAGGAGGTGGAGGCAAAGGAGAGCCTTTTCATATGAAAAGTCCCTTTGTGTCCATTGGAAGCAATAAACCTCTAATTGGAGGTAGAGGAACAAAGCCGGGTCCATTTACTTCATTTTCAGCAGGAAGAGATGAATCAGGCACATTTAA